CAGTAATCCCAATAAGAGACCCAAACTGAACAAAACGCCGAAACAAGTGTCGCATTACTACGCGAACGGCGACTCCTGTGATATGACCGGCAAATCCCGTTCCGTCGAAGTCAAGATGAAGTGAGCGCTTAATCCCGTAATCTGTTAATCCATTGATTAATCCATTTCTATGTTTAATCCCACGGCTCAGGTGTCGCAACATCTCAGGACATCCTGATTCGGTTGCACTCTATTTACTCGAACCCAAGACTTGTGAATACATATTAGGAGTAATTATAAGACTTTTTTTCTATTGATTTGATTGTTATTTAACTAATAAAATAATAATTTATTTTGATTTACAGATAGAGTCGCCGATTATTTGTCAGCTGTTGAGTACGGCCGACGAAAACGGATTATTATATAACCCGAGCGTTAAGTTAACGGAAGACACAGCGGCCGAGGAGGCCGTGGATGAGGCGTTACATTGAGTTTATTGTCGCGTTTTTTGTACAAAACTTTTCAAAAAAAAGACTTTTTCTGTATTTAAAATAAAGTTTAGAAATTATTTATGACTTAATATATGCGCCAATTTTTGTGTATAAAGAACCTTGTTAATGATGACTCCAAATGCAATTAATGAAAACCACATTTTAATTAAATTATATATTTTAAATTATTAAATAACACGTGTTTATAGTTTTTATATACAATTGATTTGAATGAACAGACAATCGGATGGCAATGATCTCAAGAGTGTGTATAAAATTTGTGGTATTTTTTGCCTTAAGATTGACCACAAAATAGCGTAAAATTTCTTAAATAAAACTTTTATTTCACTATAAATTTAATTAAAACTAATGTTTACGTCAATTAAGACATCACTTGCGATGCTTTCGGTCCACTCGAGTCCATCCCTCCTCTTCGGGCTCCACTTCGACACCTATTTCTTGATCCATGTCTTCGCCGCTCATTTGCTGCTCACTATCACCGCCGCTGGCGATGTCCAGCGATTCCAACGCTTCCTCCACTACCACACGATTCACATTATCTACACCACTATTACCACCATAACAAACCCGCGATCAAGAGACAGACTAGTGCAGAACGTTAGACAGCATGTGAAGGACTACCGCTGGCCTAGACGTCTTGACCATTATAGACGTGTCTAACCACCGCTTGTGTGCGCACCTAGGCAGCTCCAGGTGACTGTCAAACTCGTTGTCCAATATCTCGGCCACGAAGTCGTCCACTTCGTCGGCATATAAGTCGGCATTAGTGGCGAAGAACTCGACGATCGCATCCCTCAGCCAAACCAACTTCTCCTGAGTATACAGACCTCCCATCCCGTGCTCCAGACATAACTGAAAGGACTTCCACTCGCGGATGGACTCGTCGACGGCTATACCAAACACTTCATCGGCTGATGGCGACGACATGGCCACAGACACCACAGATTCAATACACAACTTATGGACACAGTATTCACGTGTAAAATACAGACATTTATGCGACAAATAACTCGCAAAACAATTACTAAACTAATGGTTAAAACATTGATTTAATTGCCTTTTAAACGACTCGTGTGTTTGCAGTTGTTTTGAAAGTCCGCGAAACACGTGTTTGTGAGGCAATGACTGCGCGCATGCGTCGCACGACTCAAACAAATATTTAAAAAACTTGTTTTTGAAGCGAAAAAAAACTATTTTTATATTTTGTTTGAAGTTTTCGTATGAAAACCACTTCAGAGTCCCAAAGACTTCTCACTCAAGACTCAACTCTTTTGGGATTCACTTCATGTCATATAATATCCAGTTTTGTGACTCAATACACACTACATATGTCTGTAGTTCTCGTCGAAACCTCTTAGTTCCCGACCTCTTAAGACACTCCAAACACCCGGTGATAGTGGAAGTGCTCGGCCCTAAGAACTAGCCATGGATTGGTTGACTATGATAGTGGGCTTTCTGGTGATTATCATCGGATTGGGAGCCTATGCGTGGCAGTTGTCCAACGTATTACTCACGAGTAATCAATGGCTATCACCGCACGACAAGACAATACTGATCACCGGATGCGATACCGGTATCGGACACGAGTTGGCCAAACACTTCTACCTCAAGGGCTGCATAGTCTTCGCCACCGTTTTGGACATCGATGGCAGCGGTGCTCAAGAGTTACGCCGATTGTCTGATTCCAGTGGCGATGATAATCACCGGCGGATGCGTTTGATTCGCATGGATGTGACCAACGATGAGGACGTGAGTCGAGCCGCCGCTGAAGTGGACGACTATCTCAAGCGAAACCAATCGCAAGGTTTGTGCGGATCAGCCAAACAGTGGTCTAAAAATATATTCATTGAAAACGAAAACTTATTTTTATTTTTTTTGTTGAATTCATAATCAAAAGCGATTTCAAACTCTATTCCCATAAACCAGTTATCGATTGGAAAAGTATGGCTAATATAATGGCATATATTTCGCTGATTATGTCCTCCTTTCTCGCCTCTTAAGCCAAATGTTTCCCAAAATATCTATGCCTTAGAAACTGGTGTTCAGTATAAGCCTTAAGGCATTCCCCTCTCGCCAAACATACCTGAGCTCTCATTTCCTTTTCGTTTACTATTAATAAATAGGCTTTTCGTTCATTAAATATTTCACTATTTATTGAAATATTTGTTATGTTTTTATTTCGTTATATTTTCTTAAGACTAGTTTAAATCCAATAAATTTTTTTTGAAACATTTATATCTCGTAATTAGATTACAACAAAAAAGTTACGGAAATGTATGCAATTTGCTATGCATTTCAAAACTTATTATGAAATTTTTTGACCATTAATTCCCATATTTGTCTAATTTTGCAAATTATGTCAATTCGTGACCTAAAGCCCAGACTTTGCAGACTTTAATCTATAAATACAACAGTAATCTCTGATAAGAAAAGCAAATATTAATGAAAAGTTTAATCATTAAACGCAAACAATATTAATAACAATGTTTATAATCATGTGATTCATATCGCATAAAAACTTCTAGAGTCTAGACTTTAGTCTATAAAACTGACAATTTTAGAAATTAAGTACAAAATTAACAATACATTCAACATCTAAGCAAATGCTGAAAGAAAATACATTTACAACTCATTGCGCTATTCTTAACAGAAAATTTCCAAAACTTTTGAATTATTTCAAAGAATATCTCAAATCTCTATATTTTATATCCAAACAAAAAAGTCGTCAAAACTATAAGCACTTCAAAGTCTATTAAAATCCCAGAGAAGTACTCAATGAAATGCCCAGAAATAGACTTTTATTTTATTTATTTATGATTCATATTGTAATATATTTGTAGATAAGATATCTATTTATAATTATAATAATAATTTCATTGATATTCCGTACGGAATGTAGGTTTGTATGCATTGATAAACAACGCGGGCGTCTGTGTGATGGCTGAGTTTGACTGGTTGTCATGGAATCAGATCCAGAAGCAGGTCGACACCAATGTGTTGGGAACCATTCGGGTGACCAAAACACTTTTGCCACTCATTATACAGAGCAAAGGTATGCCACCGATTGATTCATTTGCATGCAATTCCTATGAATCACAGATACTTTCCATTAGTTTCTATTGAATTGGGATTTGTTTTCAAAACTCTAAAGAATTTTTCACATCCTTTGGCAAAGTTTTAGGCAATAATTTACAGCAAAAATGCGATTATTTATCAATAGATTCAATAGAAAACAAACAAATCTATTGTGAACAGCATATCAAATGACAACTGGAAACTAGTGACTAATTTTTTATATACTTTTTTATCATTGCATAAAATTAACAAAAAGTTTAGCACTTTATAAGTTTGTATAGAAAAAAGACATTAATAATTTGCACGGTATATAGAAATGTATTTTTAGGCCACAAG